TTATGTATGTTTTTTCTAAGTATGTAATAATTTTTTTAATTCGTGCATCTTTGGGTTAAAATATTTTTAGAATGCGGAGTTACGGTGCGTTTGTATTTTCGACCGTGCGGAGATACGGTGCATGCGGAGTTACGGATTCACAAAATATTTTTATTCATGCGGAGCTATGGTGCGTCCACAATTATATTTTGTGTATTAATTTAGTTGAACCTTGAACAGTGCAACATCTGAAGCTTGAACTATTGAAAGCAGTGCTAAGCATTATTTTAATTCAATCCGGATAATTGATTACAATTATTTAGTCCAAATTTCGGATTCAGTCCATCGATTAGGATTTCGGATCTAATCCGACTGCACTGGTTTTGAAATAATCAGTTATTTTGTCATTATTATCTGTATAATATGAATATACAATACCGGGATCTATTATGGAATAGATTTATAAAATTGTCAATAAAATAATAATTGTTTCAAAACGCTTTGTAATTCGGATTAATATTATAATACCGATTAGTAGGTAGTTTAAATCCGTTTAAATTTTTTCCTGTCAACTCTGTAATAGTTAATATTATAACCCATCCTAACCTAACCTCTCGACTCTCAAGGGAAAGAAATTGAAAATTATGTGAAACAGTTAGGTACTTACTACAATTATTTATAAATTTAAATAAATTATTGTTCAGAATATGGGAAAAACTGTATTTTTATTACTAAACTGGTTGTAATTTAAAATTTGTTCTCAGTAAAATATGTCACTAGCCTGTTGGTATTTTTAAAATAAAAAAAGGGGTAAGTTGGTACAACGCTCTGCTGTACATTAGGCGTCTAGGGAGTGTCTGAAATGGAGGTGTTAAATTTGAATTCAATGATATAAATTCAATGTATACAGAAAACGATTCTGAGAGAAGGTAGACCGTTTAATATACATCGATAGGTCTGTCAACCAATTATATTTCTAAGTATAGGTATACTCTGCAATACTTGATGATAATTTTGTGATTAATATAATTTATTTTACTGTATAATATAGGCATCAATATACTAATAAAATGTAGTAGTTTCATTCATTTTTGTCGAAAAATTTTAATTTGTGAAATTATCACATACTTACCTAATATTGCAGTTATATATCGTTTTTGTCTTTAAAAATTTAATTTTATTGTAGGTAATATGCATTTTGTAAAAAAATAAAAATTTAAATTTGATCAATACAATGTGTCTTAGTTACTGTGGTGTTCAAGTGTAACATTTCTGTAATAATAATGTCCTAGTTAAAATAATTGATGAGTGTTAGTGTATAAAATATAAAATTATTTACTATAAATTTATAAATACATAACATATTTAAAGTATAAATTTGAAAAAAAAACACTTAAAATCAAAATTGTATGACAACATGATTGCCACGAGACTGGAGGTAAATTATAAAAGAATAATTATCTGCAGCTATAGGTCCGGTCACGGCTATATACACGATGGTTGCCCATCGGCGGAGATTCATTAGAGATACTTCACATCTTGTCCTACTCGAAACCAACAATAATGCAACGAAAAACAAAATACATGTTTGTATTTCGTCGCATCGGACGCATCATATTTCGACGGAACAGCATGATCATTGGTCACGATAGAAATCGCACTCGCCGCGTTTGAGTGGGATACAGCATCCAAGTTGTCATGTCATCCGAAAGATATACCTCGCTGTCGGGAAGTATCTAATTTCTAGTAACTACAAATGTATACATACATTTCAAATTCGTTGGTACTGGGAATCAGATTACATTATGAAATATGAATATTTGTGTTATACAATTATAAACTTATAACTAGTATGATCTTCTCTATCTATAAAAGAAAGTGTACTTTTGCTATAATCAACGCAGAGCCGAACCCATTTCGAGTTACTGAATTGAAATTTTGAGGATAGATCAATATAATAATGTCAAGTTCCAAATTTTTCGAAATTTTAAAGGGTTGAAATCAGTAAAATTAAACTATATATCTACAAACATGTTTTACAGCACGGCAGCCCGCTGGTTTCTATAGCTAATGCAACCGCATAACTTTTTGTACATCTAATTATGTGTTTGATCAAATTCGATTCGTTCGGAAAATTAATGAAAAATTGTACAGTGAGTTTTTTGATAAGTATTTGTTCATCATGGTTAGTTTAAGCAATCGGGCTTAAAATTTCTAACAAACTTAAATCGCAGAACTAGCAACAGTGAAGGTCATGGGGGCTACGGCTGATTTTTTTAACACGAATTACTTATAATTATTAAAATATAATTTATAGTTATGCGTAATATCAATTTTTTTAATTAGTACTTTATTTATAACAGTATTTGTATTATATTATTAAATCTTTTTTTTGCCAACTCGTTCAGTACTTCGTTGGATGTTATATATCTTATAATCCCACGATGAACAGCCATAGTGTCGAAGCCATTGAGACGGCTTTAGAATAATACAATGCCACACACATATATATATTAACATATGCTCATTATATAAACATTTCAAACACACTTATAATTTAACTATAAAATAAATGAACAAAACCTCTAAAATTGTTTAAAATGAATTGTTAGTTTGAAATGTTCATTTAGTACTTATTCTAATTATATAGGTACCTACAAATATTTTCTTCCAGCCTAAAGCACATAATATGTAGTATACCTAATATGGAAATATGGAATATGTAGCTGGCGGGGCAGTTCGGCTTATTATGAGACAAGTGAAATATAATTTTGTTATTGTTAAAAGATAACGCTTGATATCTAGAGGTTATTCTTTAAATTATTACTTCCGACGGATAAATGTGTTTTTATTGGCCTCTGATTATAACAGGTCGAAATAACGATAGAAATCGGTATTTGATGACTTGAAGTAAATTGTTTATTGTTCATAGTTTTTTGTAGAATCAATTATAGTGTACAAACAAATCAACTATATTTTCTAATTTGGTAACTTGTCTAATTTTTAAATATGTATTAAACGAATCTTTATGTTAACGTTAGTGTATGTAGTTGTCCATGAGAATGTAAAAATATCAAATGGGCTTCAATGAGACAACATTTTTGGTGTTCAGTGAGACACATATCTCATTGCATTATGTTAGTTATATCGTACAACAATGATATTTTAATCAATTTAATTATTAATTATGGCAAAATGGGACGATCCTTTTAACGAAAAACTAGGTAATAAAGTAGGTAATTTTTTCCTACATACCTATTTATAATTTAAATGTAGTCAGAGTCAAAGTAAGAATGTAAGATTGACATGTTTCTTTAAATAATAGGTAATAAGAAAAAAAATATAATTTGTTTTCCATAAGTTGTTAAGGTACAGTGTTTATATTTATATTAATATATATATAAGTACCTACATAACCTATATGAGTTCAAACAATTTTATTAATTTTTAAGTTTCATATATTATAATTTAAATCTATGATCATAGTTAAAGTAAGACTGAATAATAAATATTAGTCTTGTATTCCTAATTGTTAATTTTTTAAGTTGCATATACCTATTATAATTTAAATTTATGATCAAAGTCATAATTTTATTTTATTTATATAAGTTGTTCATATGGAATTTACTAGATGTATATAATTATAATATATAGTATACCTATACAATATACATATGTACTATATTTGCATTTTATGATGGTAACCACAACAGGTGGATTGTCTGCCTGTTAACATACTGCTCACATTATCACAACAGAGTCTCAAATAGAGTTCACAGAATCAGTAAGTGTACTACACTATATTCATGACCCGACACCTAATCATCATTCTGAGTTTTCTGTTTTTAATAAATTGTGATGTTTCAATAACTATTTATTAGGTACCTAGCGCTAGGTGGTGTTATCATTGATTAAATATGCATAGTATTAAATAATTATATTAATATTTAATCAGTGCTATTATGATTTAGTGAGAAACTTGGGAGCCGCTTGTGGGTATTACTGAACATAGGCCGATAGGCAATCATAGTATTAACATCCGTGGTTTCACTGATGATTTGAGGGATGCGATCGGGATATGATAAGGTGACTACCAAACTGAGTTCTCAGCAATCGCTCCCCTTGATAAAAAGTTATTTACTGTCAGATATACCTATAATATCTTAATTCCTGATTACAATGTACCACAGACCAAGATATAATGGACTGAGAACATAGTGTCCTTATACTAATAGACGAAGTGTGGATGTAGTTCCGGCGGTCAGACGTGAGTGAGCGCGCCTGCAGGATAAACTCCCACTTGGGGCAGGAATGCAGGATGAAAATAACCACCTACTTATAAACTGAAGTCTGAACCACCAGTTTGAGAAACGACGTAAGTCCATAAAAGGTAATTCTGAGTAAAAACAAGAAAAAAACTGTTTGTACGCTATCAGTGATACATGGGTATTTCTTTTTCATACTGATTATTTACGGGGGTAAAATTTAATATTTTTTTTGCAAATGTTCACACATGATCCGTTTATCATTCGATAACACATTGCCCTCAGTAACTCAAATTCTGATATTTTGTGACTTACGTCGTTTCTCAAATTCGTTCAATTATAATTTGAATATTAATTGTAGTGATATTGATATACACACGTAGATTCATGCAGTTGAAAACTTGAAAATTATCAGGAACGACAATGGCCCCTTTGGTCCCTCCCCCTACTTACGACCTTGGACGTGAGTGCGTTGTTCGAGTGGTACCGAATTATATAGCTCATGCGCATTAAATATTAGAATAACCTGTATACTACAACTGTACAGTGTATACTATAATATAAAACATAATATTACATGTAACAAATTTTTGTGACTTCACCACCCTGTCACCCCCGGTCAGGCACTCGCCACGCTCAGAGCGGCTTACCCATTGACCTATAAACTAGTTTATAGGTCAATGAGCTTACCCGTGGCCCCGAATGTAGGTACAAGGTCAATTTAAAACTGTTGTGTATGGCAGCACTGTTGAGTGTTGTCGTATGTCGATTGTTGATAGACCTCGTGCGTTCGTCTTGAAAGCCTTTGCATAACTCATAAGCGCCGATTAACGTAAGTTCACCGTTTAATATTGCTTGAGTCTGCATTGAAAATTACTATGGAAACCAGAAGTAAAGCCGCTTCACGCAATCGTGATAAATCGGAATCCTCGAGTAAGAACAAATCCAATCCTCCATCCAAAACAATCAGGAAAATGTCGAGGGAAGCCAAACGTCAGGAAAAGAAGGATGTGGCTGATGAAAAATCCAGCATTACAAATACGTGAGTTTGTTTTAAAAGGAGACACACTTCTCGTGTGTGTAGATTAAATAAAAAGACTGTGAGTAATTTAGGTATTAATAATGTTGTTAGTAATGAGTTAATGCTAGTACAGTGCTAATAATAATACTTTTTTAGATTATGAGGTTGATTCTGGAGCAGCTGTCATTCTGCTACCTATTATTGTCTATAATATTAAATTGTCTAATGTTCCACTTCAGTCTTGTGAAGTAAAGTGGACCACTGCAAATGGAAAGTCTTAAAAAACCTTTGTTCGGTAGAGTTGATTAGTCATAATTAATCTATAGTGGGGAGTCAGATTGTTAGTACTAGTCAAGTAGAAGTTTTTAGTTGTATGATGTTGAATGATCATTTAGTTGAAAAATTTAAAGTTAAGTATTTTCTTATAATATTGAGCTAGAAATTGTTGAAGCTTTTGTTGTAATGAAAGAAAATGCAGTACTGTTGTTTTCGTAAAACGTATGATGTTCCCTATGCTATCAGAGATAAGGTAACAATAGAATTAAATGCACTAGAAAGTTAAAGTACATCACAAAAATGTCACATAGTCAATGAGCATCTCCAACTGTGTGTGTACCATGGAATGTGAAATCGCATTTATTTATACGAAGGCTTTAATAGTAAAAAAGTCTAGTCTTGTATTTTATAATAGTGATTTTCCATTGTTTGTGGCAACCTATAGAAGCTTATATGGTATTGGTGCAGTTTTAAGTCTTAGGTATCATAGATAGTGATGAACATCCAAGTATTATGTTTGCAAGCATCCTTTATCAGATACAGAGAAATAGGTTGGCTGAAGAGGCGGTGGCTATTATTTTTGGTGTTTTTAAATTTCATAAGTTTATTTATGGTTGTTTTTTAAGTTTTCAGTTAGTGACAGATCTGAACGATTAAAACAATTATTTAATCTGCCAATAAGTATTCTACAATTGTCTGCGGTACATATACACTGTTGGTCTATTAAGTTTTAAAAATGGCTGAATGCAATTCTTATGCTGAAGGTCTCTCACATTTACCTTTACAGTCTCAGAAGTCAGTTGAGAAAGTATGTTTTTTAGTGTCTGTACTCCGTTATATCATTATTTCAGGATAAGTTAACAACATTCAAAACCACTGAACAAGAAACCGGTATGGATCATGGATGATGTTCTAGTAAAATTTGTTGAATTAGTTGAATAGGTTTTAAAGAATGGTTGCCCACATTTCACAGTTGAATGAAAAAATAAAATTGTTCATAAGATCCATTTACAGCAATTCCTTGAATCTGGTTATATCTTGTTTGGTAATCGTTAGGTAGTTGATAACTAGAGAGAGAGTGTGGAAGGTACCTGGCAGGTATCAAGTTTAGTTGATTTTAGTTAAATATTAAAAAAAAAAAATTGGTTATTAGTAATATATAATGTATAATTGGTAAAATTATTTTTTATGTTTAGAATGAGATGTAGAAGATACTGGAACTTGAGAATAGTACTACAGCTATGTGACGAGCAACCAATACCCAAAAGTGATGTCATTAATTCTGCCAGGTATCAAATTTCGTTGATTTTAGTTAAATATTAAAAAAATTGGTAATATATAATGTATAATTAGTAATATAATTTTTTATGTTTAGAATGAAACCTAGAAAAAACTTGAGAGTAGTACCACACAAATGTGATGAGCAACCAATATCCAAAAATGATGTCAATAAATCTGTTGAAAAGACCAAAAAGGTAACCAGAAAAAGATGAAATGACAATGGTTACTGATGTACCTACTTTAATAAAAAAATACAACACTTTCTACACTTCATCAAATTTTAATAATCTTTATAATACAAACAACTTAATCTTTGTCACAATATATAATAACAAACTATTCATAAATAAAATAATATAACTTATACTTATAAACATTTAATAATTATTATTATTTTAATTTACCATCTTTTAAGTTGTAAAATACTATATTTTTCATAAAACTTAATTCTAAATAAATTGTTTTGAATTTTAATAAAAGAAATGTAGATGTGTAGAAATGTTTCATCTATTTTATTTTAATATGATAAAATATTAAGTCTACCTCTATTTCCCTTTCAATTTGTAGAATATTGAGTATTATACTTTGTAAGATACATGCCACAACATGAGAGTAAGAACTCCGATGTATGCATGTAAAAGTGGACACATATATGTAGCATATGTTGGATTGTGGTGCATATTGTAACATAAGAAGCATTTTGTGATTTTTTTCCTTATTTTATTCTAAATTAAATTTATAAACAATTAATACTATGCCATATAATTTTATACCCAAATTTTTTTTATGGAAACTACAGATTTATACAAAAATCTATTTTAATAAAATTGAATATTGATTATTTAAAATAATGGTGTATCTAGGACTACTTAAAATTAATTCAATCTGATATTTATTTTCATATAAAATTTTCAATATTTACCTATAGTCTTTCATTAAATTTTCATCTGTTATTATTTTTGTTATAAATTAAATTTTTCTTGGATAAGATATTTTTGGTATTAGGGACGAGAGGCAATTTAGACACTCTGTAAATTGAGTTGCTCCCTAGTTACATTCCATTTAATATTTGATAATACTGGTCATTGAAAAGGTGTGCATTAAAAAGTTAAAAAAAATTAAAATGTTACGTTAATAACCAGTTACTTTTTTTTTAAACTAATTTTTAACTTAACACTTATAATACATAGGAAATTTAGAATTGTTGGTTTGTGATTAATGATAAATTTCTATTGATATATTATAATCGTAGCCATATATTATGAACATAGTTCTAATGAAGACATTGGGCATATTATTATAATTTATATAAATATATTCATTCCCCCCCCCCAACATAACTACATTCCCCGGCTGTTACGCACTGAAGCGATTTCCACATTGAAAATATTAAAATTTTTAGTTATGTTAATTTGTTTTATCCATTCATTTTTGACTCAACAAAGTTATAAAAACAATATTAGTTCACTTTTAGTTTAATTTAACTTACTTCTTCTTATATTAACTTAACTTAACAGTTTAAAACAATTGTTAACTTGTCTAGCCTTGGTCATTGGATAATTTGTGACTATACTTAAACCACCATAATCATGATTATAATTTATAATAGGAAGACAAAAGATCCATTATATCAGGGTGATCTGAGACCCTGACCTATTATTTTATCTATAGCTTGACAAAATCGTTACATTTATCTTCTTGGGTGTTCAAGTCTTTAAAACTAAATAATGATGACAACAATTTAACCCCTGTTTATTTGATCTTTTAAGTAATTTTTCTTAAGAATAAGAGCAAATTAATTTGAATGTTTGAACCAAATTTGGATAGTTATTGAAATCTACATTAACTCAACACCACTGAAAAGAATCTCTAAAAAATATGTTGCAAATAGCTTTATATAATATGATATCATGATCTTGAAAACAAGAGTTTATGTCCAAGACAATAAATTTAGATTTTAGTTTAGGTATTTTAATTAAAATAAATCCTTCTAAATTATCTTAGTTTAATTTAGTTATCATTAAAAATTAATACTCAATTGTTCCTAAAGTGGCCTTAAGTGAAACTTTTAAACCAAAATAATTAATTCTGTAAGTTCAACAATTGTGTAAGATGGATAATTGTCATCATTGTCTACGGCCATACACAACTTCAGCAAGATGGAAAAAGTCAAGGTACAAGTCCTTACAATTGAACTGTACAAACCAACTTAAAACATTTGATTACAATTTTACGGCCACAATATATAAAAGAAACAATCTGTATCTTACATGTAATTTTGAACTGTTAGCCATTTAGTTGGATTACATCTGAAAAAGAAAATTAGTGAACTGAGGCATAATAAATATGTTGTTAACTAATTTTGATTTACAAGTCTACATATATACTTAAACTAAATTCCAAAAATATTTTACTTAACTCTTTCACTTCTTCAAACGTACTACTATGTCCAAAACATTTACACCAATCATCACTGCTCCAGACATACTATTACATTCTTGTAGGTACTTGGTAATATTATCATTAGTCAGTAAAGATATAATTTTAGGAAACCCTAAACCCTGGCTCACATTATTTTAAATTTAAATAGTTTTATCTTATTTAACTAAAAATTAAAATATATATTTATTTTATTAAAAATTGAAATATTTTATTTTATGTAGCATACACAGGTGGTTGCAGAGCATAACTAGTAGCAGTGTAAAGGTTAAATAAACCAATACTTTTTTGCGGGAAGTTGAATAAAAAAGTATCCTTTTCAACCAAAGAAATTTATACAAATATGTTTCAAACTTAAACTGTGACAAATATTATATGTATAATCATGAATCTAATACAGTGCACAAGAATACAATTTTTAAAAACATATTTTCTGGATTAATATTAATCATACTAACTTATGAGTTATGACAGTCATGGCATACCTAGACAATTTCTTAATTAAAACTGTAGCATTTTTTGTTATGTTTCTTGAAAATTATACTACATCTATACTTTTTTTGAATTATATTTGAAGATCAGGTCATTGGATCTGCTACTGAGTAAGGATTTTGTTGAATTTGAATTCAACAATATAATGTCATTGTATAGTGTACGTGAAAAATGATTCTGAGCAGCACGAAGGCGGTTTGTGGGCAAAGGATATATTTTTATAATAGTTATATTTATATTGTTCTTATTACTACTATAGCCGGTAGGTAATATTTGCATATTTGTATATTATCTTATTTGTATAATGTCATAATATACTTTAAAAGTTTCAAGTACTCACGTATAATATTTTGAAATTACAACAAAATAACTAAAATCATTATTCTTGGTTTGAATATATTGTGATTCTGTCCAAATTGAACTTAAAATAACTATAAAAAAACTGTTTGTATATTCTTTTAATTTTTGCTTACAGAATTAACTACTTAAAAGGAACCCTGTTTTAAAATTTCAATCCTTAGCTATAAAAATTGAAAGTTTTATAAACTTTTAACTACAAAATCATTTTCATTTTTCAATTTGATAAATGTTATCAACATTTGAACATTAAATCCTTATAAAAAAATTTGTGACTATATATTTGTAATAATTTTATTAAATATATTGACACAATTGTAACAATATATCAGGTGCCTTGTATTACATTTCTAAGCTTTTTCACCCAAGAAAAAAAAAAGAAAAAAAACTGAACATTTTGAAAACGTTCGTAAACAGCTCGAAATGAGTTAGAAGATTTTAAAAATTGATTTAAGTATAGGAAAAAATAAAATAAACATTTATTGTAAAATTCATGAATCTACAGTTGTTTGTTTTTGAATAACAACAAAATAGGAAAATTGTTTCATGAGAAATCAAGTGAATATACAATGTTATAAACATTTGAACTTTAAACGCTCATAAGCACTTAATAAGACTTTTCGGTAGACATTTTTTTTTTAATAAAGATAGAAAACTTATAAGGAATCTTATATTGAATTTTAAAATCTTAGATTTAAAAAGAAACATTTTTATAAATTTTTAATTCATAATAATTTTGTAAAGTTTAGTGATTTTTATGTATTTTGTCAAAATTTGATATTTAGACCCTCATAATAAATTATTGTGGATTTAAGCTCAACTTTTTTTGTAAATTCGACTAATAGTTACTTACGAGGAAACTTGTGATTATTTCAATTAAACATTTTAAGAATTATTCAATTATATTGATATAGTTATAGTATAATATAAATATGAATGGATTACTTGTATAATTATCCATTTATATATTGAAACAAACCACAAAAATGTATAAATTAAGACCTAAAATTAAATTTAAAAGTACCTAACAATATATAAATAAATATATTAAATGAAATATAAAAAAATGTATCTACTTTATACCTTAAATTATAATCTTAAGTAACAGTATATGAATAAATATTTAATAAATATGTATAAATATAAATACAATAAAATAAACTTAACAAAAACATTTGGAAATATATATATATTTTTTTAATTGTTACTGCCAAGATTAGTAAAAATTTCCAAATGTTGATTTTCTTAGTGAAGTTCTGGAAACAAATTCTTTCAAATCATTGTTTGCTGTCATAGACTTATGAACGTGTAAAATCATCATAGGAGTTAATCTCTTTTGGGTCATTGTGAACCTTAAATATGTTTATAGTCCTCTCAATGCACTAAAAGCACTGAAAGATGTTGGTATTGTTAAAATTAATTTAATAAGTTTTGTGATTTCAGAAAATAAAGAATCTTTTAAATTTAAATATTAATTTCTTAAATTATTAATAATATCTGAAATACTAGTGATAAATACTATAGATGGAACATGAAGCATGAAGCTTATTTATGTCAAAATCCTCACTCATATTATTTAAACAATTAGTAAGTTCTTGGTGAGTTTTTGTGTTTTGATCTACAAGTAGGTTTTCTAACTTGACCAAGTTTTTTAGACCTTGTTGATTAAAACGTTTATCAATTTCATTTATCAAATAGTCAATTATTTCAAACATATCTCTCTTCAATTCACATACTGGTGATAATTTTGTAGGAGGATTATTTGTGTATTGAAGTCATTTTGGTGATTTTTAGATGCGCCTAGTGTCGTCAAGTGGTTCTAATACACATATTTCAGCATGTAAATGCACGGTATTTAATATCTTTCAAAATTGTTATTAGTTCTGAATGATAGTAATGTTTTCTTCAATGTAGCCGCAGCTTTAATTGAATCAGATGCACAAAATTTAGGATTTTGTAACACTTTTGAAAATTGTTCTACTTGACCAAAGATATGTATTGCAATAGTAAAA